GTCGGGCGGGTGCGTCGGCAGCAGCTTCCTGAGCTCCGCGAAGGCCCCGTTCACGTTCTGCTGCCGCCAGCGCTCGCGGCTGTTGGTGAACACCCGCCGGGCCACCTTCTGCGGCTGGTGCCCTGCGGACAGGGGGCGCGGGGGTGGCGCCCAGGCCCGGGGGGCGCCCCTCCGCCGCCACCGCAGCACCCTCGTGGGGCCTTCTCCTCCCCAGGGATCCTGGTGCAGCGCCCGCTTCCCAAGGGCCACCTAGACCGGGATTATCACAGTCCCAGGCTGCCCCGGCGGGGGCCTGTGTACCTGCGACTTGTCAGTGGCTGAGATTTCCTAGGGGAAGATTTCCTCGTGGCTGTTGGCTCTGGGGAGCTGTCATTCTGAGTGTGCGCGTGTGGCTGAGAGGTCCTCTGTTGTGACGGTGGTCCTGTCGGTGTTTTGAGGGGCCTATCTGCCATGCGGTTGCCATGTGGTTGTGGTGTGTGGCTGTTTCATGCATGGCTGTGGTTCTGTGGCTGACTTGTGTGGCCTCGCTCCTAAGTGGCTGTGGTTCCGTGGCTGCCTCTTTCGTGGCTGTGCAATCCAGTGGCGCTGTCATTTGGGGGCTCCCATGGCCTGGTGTGACATGTGGTTTGCCCTGACCCTTTCTGGCTACAAGCCTTGGCTTGTTGGGTGGCAGTGGTTGTGCAGGGCTGGCTATGGAACTGTGGCTTTGCACGTGGGTAGAACCCGTGTGGGCTGGGATCTCTGTGACAAAAGCACCTCTCCTGGTGGGAGGGTATGGGACAGATGTGAGCTCTACGCAGACATCTGGGCCTTCGGTACACCCAGTGTGCATGCATACACACAAACCCACACTCACCATCAGCCAGGTCCAGCTCACAGTGGCTTGGCCTCCGCTTCAGCCGACTGCCAGGGAAGAGGCTGAAAGGTCCTGCCGGCCCAATGTAGACACTGTAAAGGGTTGTGGGTCACTAATGCCCGGTGGGCAAGGCCCCTGGCTCCCCAGCTCCCATGCCTGCCCTGCCCCAGCTCCCCACTGACCTGTTGAGGAAGGGGTGAGGGTGATAATGCAAAGCCAGGGTGGGTGGGGCAGTTCCTAGGGCAGAGAGCTGCAGCAGGGGAGGGCGCAGGGTGCCCAGCTCCGCGGCAGGCATGGCTGCCCCCGGGGGCCGGCTGTGGCCCAGGCTGATCACTGGCACACCAGGGGGCAGCCTGGGGGGCGAGGCGCCTCGCCAGCCCACCTCCTCCGCCTGGGGGCCCCCAGGCGAGACAGGCTTCGGGGGTGGGGCTGGCGCTGGGCTGGGGGCACACACCATCTCTGCCTTCTCGGTCATGGTGGGGCCCACCTCTGCCTGGGCCTGGGGTGGGCACATGGACCCCGAGGTGGGGGGTGCTCACCTGTGGAGAGGAAGGAAGACCATGGGGAGGCGGGCCAGGTGTGACCCCCCCCACTCACTTAGTCCAGCCGCACCCTCAAGGAGGAATGGAGAGGAAGGGCGGAGGTCTGGGGGCTCAGTGACCAAAGGCAAGTGGGGGTCGGCCCCGAAAGTGCCAGGACATGGGGGAAGGCCTACACACAAGCAGAAGGTGCCCACAGAGGGGCCAGACAGCTCTGAGCCCAGCAGCACTGTCTCTGGACCGTCTGGGGTCCTCCCTGGGCTCTGCGGCCCAGCCTCTTAGCAAATTTCCCTGCTAGAACTCCCCCTCACCTGCAGCCTGGAGAGGGGACAAGGCGGGGAGACCCTGACTGATCCTGGGACCCTGGAACCCTCAGATTCGAAGATCTGATCCTGAGACGCCTCATGGACTCCTCGACGCCACGTGACCTGTGACCTTGCAGTTCCTCCCAGATGGACTGTGACCCTTCACTGACACCCCCCAGGCTGACCCTACGCATCTCAGGTATGACCCTGAGGTACTTCCACACGTGCCCCTAAAAGCGCTCCAGCACTGCTCTAGCGACCCCCGCCCCCGCTGAACGCCCCCTTACCAGCCCTGCGACCCCACTGCTGACACTGTGGCCTCCAGGGCTGAGCCCAGGCCCCCCGGACACTGACCCCTCTGCCCGTCCGGTTCGGTCAGGCCCCAGTCCTCCCTCTGCCCCTTCAGCATCCACACTTTTGCAGGCTGCCGTGACATCCCTGTTCATTCTTGGCTCCAGGGCCTGGGGTCTCCCAGCAAGGGGTGGGACTCCTGGCCCTTCGGCTGGGCTTCCTCAGCCAGGCCTTGGGGAAGCTGGTCGGGCCCCTCACTCAGGGGGTCCCTGCTGATGAATGAATGAATGAACAAATGAACAAAGGAATGCGGACGGGGTCCCAGGCCCAGATTCTCCACCTCCAGGTGCTTCCCGTCTTACCCCGAGCTGTTCTCGCAGCCTGGTGGGTGCCCTGGCTCTGTCCTGTCAGGGCTGGCAGTCTGGGCCAGGCCCCGCCGGCTCCAGTCCGGCCTCCACGCTGCAGGCCCTGGCGTTGGGCCGTGCCTCCTCCCGGCCTCTGGAGGGCCAGGGCAGCTGCGGGTGCGGCGTGGGTCCCCCCCAGGGAAAGCGAGTGGCTCGGGG